CATGTCCATTAAAGTGACCACGCCCTAATTTATGCAAAAGCTTTAAGGCTTAATATTAATTAAACAGATGAGTTGAGAAAAAATTCACCCCCCACACAGTAGTCATGAGGGGGGAATCTAACTATACAGAGAATATGGTTTTTTGAACCACGATGTAAACATGTAAAGTTGGGCATTGTAACATGGGGGTCTATGGAAATTGCTCCCTTCTGCAGACTGCTCCTACTGGCCACTAGATGAACTGCAGTTTGAGACACTTCCGTATTAGCGTCCCGGCTCTTCCCCAGAGTTTGCCGCTTGATCATAACTCGCTGAATACAAAACTGATTTTCACGGGGGGGTTTTTCTGCAAACGTCATATATGTAGGCATGTGATACCGGACACATGATTCGGCGTATTTTAATATTCATAGTAGGCTTAACAGCAATAGAATATTCTGGTATTTGATAGCCTATATGTTATGTATGATAGGTATTTTGCAAAAGACACAAGATATATAATTATATATACACACACACACACACATATAAAAAAACACTAATGGTCTATATCAGGGGTGGCCAACCCGCGGCTCTCGAGCCGCATGCGGCTCTTTGCCTAGTTTCATGCGGCTCTTCAGTTCATATCGAATTGTATATGTGTGAGTTTGGGGGAGAGACACTGACTCCTGACTAGTGTTGCACGGTGTACCGATACTTGAAAGGTACCGCGATACCCTGCCGTTAAAAACGTTACGATTCCTCCGTTTCATTAGTATCGGTACTTTAAGAATGAAGGGGAAAAGTACTCCGGTGAGAAAGCGCCGTTTTAATAAGAGCCGTGTGTGTTCAGCGCTCTGCTTCCACTCCCTGCACTGCAGCCGTGCCTGCAGTCCCGCCCCTCTCAAGCACACTCAAGTGCCTCCCCTCTCTCGTGCACGCGCTAGCTGCCAGAGCATGTGAGAAAGCGAGAAGCATGGCTGCAAGTGGGAGTGCAACTGCCGCTGCGCCTCGGCTTGTTGACAAAAAAGACGCCAGAAGCGAAATTTGGAAGTATTTGAGCTATATCTCTGACAGTGAGGGCAAGCCTACGGACACCACAAGGCCTGTCTGTAAGAAATGTATTAATTGTATTTAATACAAATTATTGTCATTTATTTTATTTATTGTTCTCATTGTTTAAAAGTTTGTGTTATGGTTCTGGTTCTGGTGTGAAATAAAGCACAATAAATTACATTTAATACTGTTTCCCTTTTTTTAAGAAAAGTATCGAAAAAGAATCGGAATCGCAATTCTTGACTTGGTATCGAAACCAAAATGTTGGTATCGTGACAACACTAGCTACTCCTGACAGTTAAACCTGATATTTAGTAGGTCTGTTAAGTATTGAATGCTGATAATTCTGACGTAATTTGGCTGGTCAAAGTTGTTTGGGCTCGGATAAAATCGCTCCGTTACTTTCGTCCCGTGTTACTTTCGTCCCGGCTCTCCCTACTTGTGTATGTGTGGTGTCAGGTGTCAGTATGAGAGGATGACAGCGCGTCTAATTTTGATGTGGCCCAAGAGCCAATCACAATAATACCTGCGATGCAGTGAACCAATTTGAGGGGGGGGAACCTATCGTTGATTAAACACTATCCAGTGTTTCCCCTACCATTGTCTTGGAGGGGCGCTGCGCCCCACCAACGGAGCCCCGCGCCCCCCCCTGAAATTCAAGGTGTTTAAAAAATATATATAATTTTTTTTTTAAATATATAGCACCAAATTCCAAATAATCTATAACTACTGTCACTTTTCACATTGAACATGTGCTCTTTTATTAAATAAACTAAACGCTTTCATTTTAAGTTGTGAGTTTAGTGTTTTTGACCCTAAGAAACACTGATGCATTAATCAATAACAATAATCCACAGCTCCTCTCTCTGCTCCAGAGGATTTAAAAAATATATATCCCAATGCCACAAAGATCACATCAGTGACGTGGTTGAAATCTTGTCTCCAGAAAACAAAAAACTGAAACAAGCGGTATCAGTGACTGTGTGTTTGATGTGGCTCTTTGCAGAAACATAGAAAAAATGTGGCTCTTAACCTCTGACTGGTTGGCCAGCCCTGGTCTATATGATAGAGAAGCAGAAGCAGATTGTGTAGGCCTACTACTCAGCTATTTTAATAAGTTGAAAAATGAAGAAACAATAATACATTATACATAGACAGAAGTTATATATCAGTAAAATGAATATCTATATCTATGTCAGAAAAAATGAAAATCTACATCTATATCTATATAAAAAATGTACATTTTCAAGTTAAACACAAGAACATGACACCACCCCGCCCCAAACCATATTTACACAAAGTTGCTCATGAAAGTTTAAATGAGCTAAAAGCCCTGAAAGAGGACTGTTTTGCAGAGCTTCTTTCTCGTGCTCCCTTTCTGCAGGTCAACAGAGGTGAGTTTGGCAATGTGGTGTAGTCTTATTTTCAGAAACACAGACACAACCAATGACAACAAGTTGGAATAATGGTTGTCGATGCCAAACTGCATCTCCTCAATGTGTTCCCCAAGCTGAAAAACATCCTCCGTTCCAATCTCCTCCCGGACAATGTAGGTCAGTGGTTCCCAAAGGACAAGTAAAAATCTCAAGGCACACCTATTGTGCAAAATAGCCCTTATAACACGTGTTATCACTCATATCATGTAAAATATCTGTAAATGTGCATAATTATTTACTAATGCCAAATAAAATGTGACAAAGACAACTATGTTACTCATGAAATATTTATTAAGGCCCTGTCACACTGTCCCGAAATTGACACCCGATGGACACACGATAAAGGAAATGTTCAAATTCGGCTGTGATCGTAGCAACATCGGGCCATTCGTGAGGGCATCTTAAGCCATCGTATGACCGCCGGTGGAGTTTCTCAGGCTCCGGCAGCAACTTAGTGAGCGGCAACTTCGTAAGGCACTCGTGAGGGCATCTTGTCAAATCGTGTCATCTTCGTGTTATCATCGGTGCATTCACCCTCACTCTGATCGGGGCGAATGCCCGATGGCACCGATGATAACAAGATGCCCTCACGATGGCCTTACGAAGGGCACAATTGACACACGAATTCAACATGAAAATGAACCTTCGCAAGGTCCTTCGGCAATTTTTTGGCATGCCAAAGAGCCTGAGAAACTCCACCGGCGGTCATACGATGGCTTAAGATGCCCTCACGAATGGCCCGATGTTGCTACGATCACAGCCGAATTTGAACATTTCCTTTATTGTGTGTCCATCGGGTTGTTTTATTGCACAACAAAATCATGTAAATATATTATGTAAATAACCCAATTTGTGTTCTGTGAAACTAAAAAGGATATAATATATTATTTTGAAGGACAGTTGACAGGAAGTTGTTGTTGTTATGGAAACAACATTACGGAGAAAACGTAATATTTTCTACATATAACGACGGATAAAGTAAAGAACAAAGTCTGAAGATATCAGTACAGTATCATAGTACTGTAACATAATTGTTTTTGGTACTTTCATTGCAGTTGTATGTCTTAAATGTAATGTAAATGTTGCCTTCGTGTGTGGTTCGGGGCCATCATCGTGCAAAATTCACAATTCTATATTCGTGTGTCCATCGGGTGTCAATTTCGGGACAGTGTGACAGGGCCTTTAACGAAATATTTCAGAAATTAATTTGAAACTTTATCAAATTAGGCTTCATCAAAGCAGCAACACATTCATTTAAACCAGACAGGTCACAACATTAAAAATGAGGCAAAGGAAACTCAGCAGAAATTCAGCACAGAGAACTGTCAATGCAAGGAAGCTGCATTGTCCATGGTTCTGAACTACAAATTATAAATGTAACATTTCAGCAATCAGCATTGAAACATGTGCTATTGTAAATATTTTGCCAATTTACAAATTAGTGAGATACATGTGCCTGTCGGGGCGAGCATAATTTTGTAATCCTTGGTGGCACTGAGGAGAGGGCCACTCGCAAGTCCTGTTCAACAGAGAGCCGTGGCCTCCTGTTGTTCTTCATGTAAATCAGAGTAGAGAACGCCAACTCCAGAGATGGGGTCGTACTAAAAAAATGTAATATATTACATATTACTTTAAAAAAAAAGTAATATATTACACTACTTTGTTACTGTGAAGAAAACTTCTGTTATCAATGCTGAGCCAATGCTCGTGAAAGGAATGGAAGCTGGATTCGCCTTAGTCAAACACTGGCATTTATTGAGAGTATAATACGGCCGGAGAATTCACAAGGTATATTCACAACTTCTTTATGAGACACCAAGCAAACTCTGGAGACAAAGGACCACAGCACAGATCTATACATTAAAAGAGGAGGGATCTATATTCCCGCCTTTTCACTAATCAGTACCAGACATCGGAACAAAGGCCTGTTTGTATTGCAACTTCTCATGTGCCAAAACCCCTCCCCCACAGGAAAGGCAGAAGACCTCTTGAGCTGTGTCTTCCTGAAATTACTTGCAGGAACATGCAAGAAAGACTGAGAAACTCTAAATACACAGATCGGATTAAAATATTCTCTTACAGTCCATTCTTTTTATCAATTTATGATATCCAATTAACACAACCTGATCTCACCAGAATGCGTGACTCCACCACGCAACCTTAACACCGCATTGCGTGGTGGAGTCACGCATTCTGTTACATTTGCGTGTCGGCACCACGCAAAAAACCCCAATGTAAAGTGAATGAGGCTCTTTTGTCGTGGTGCACACACGCATTTCTACGACGTCCCGCAGTGAGCTTTTATTCTATAAAACGTTTTTAAAATCTACTTTATAGCTTGTAGTAACTCACGTGAGGCTTCTTTTATTTGATTTGTATTCATAATAATTTTTATTTTTCGTCAGAATGTATTATGGTGCATTATTTATCAATTTCTGTTCTCAAAAAACAGTGCATTGTGTGTAATACAACTGTGATTTTTATTAAATTACTTAGTTTTTAAGGAAGGTCAAAGCTTCAGCTGTGTCAAATAGATTGTTCCCTTTAGTTTACGTTATTTAAAAGACAATTATATTCCTATTTGATCAATAAAGGGGTATTGTAGGCCAATATTAGTCATTTAAAACATATACAATGATGATAATGATGGTGAAAACCACTCCCCCCACTGGATACTGACTGTATTTGAAATGCTTTTTGTTTAATAGTAATAATAATCATTTTTATTATAACAACAATAAACCAGAAGAAGATTCCGTAGTTACCCCGGCAACGTTACGTCGCGCTTTACGTTAACGTGACGTAGCCACATTACCCACAATCACCTCACTTTCATTAATTTCATCCGATTTAATCTGACAACGGACAACTGTAAGTATCTAAAATCAAGGGGAGTTTATTTCTTTAAAACACGAAATAATATTGCTTTTATTTATTCCACTGTAGCACAGTCTCTATAGCGTTTCATTCCTGGATATTAGTTTGAGTTTTGTAGTGTGTTTAGCTTTTACAATAGGCCAACTAGCGGCCACGTTCAGCTAGCCTCCGGCCTTCCGGTCAACGTTTTGAGCTGGATAGCATTTATAGTTTATACAGCTAAATTACATTAGCTGTCACCGGCACAGTTGGATAGTGGAGGTGCGTGCTAGAAAAATATGTTTACATTTATGTATTTGCACATGTGTTGTAAAGACAGTGTTCAACACAGTTTTAATAGTGGCTAATGCATCGGCTATGGAGTGGAACAAAAATGTGGAACTGGAGTTTTTCCAGAGGATTTGACTGGCCACCCAATGTCCCACTCTGAATCAGAAATACTTCATTGATCTCCGGGGGAAATTGGGATTGTTACATTGTAGAATTTAAATATATAGTAGAAGATATAAGAAAAACAAGTGCATAATATAACAATATGCACAGTATAAATGCATAATGTATGCCAGAGTATTGCTCAGATGAATTATTATTGCATATAGAGTAATGCACAGATTAATTATTATTGCATAGAGTATTACACAGATGTTACTGTTATTCGAAATAATCCTAATCATGTTTTTCTTTTTTTCTGTTTTACAGCTTCATTACAACACTTAATATCACCAACACACACATATCCACACACACACACATATAAAACCAACGGCACTTTTAAGAGCCACTCTTTCTCTCACTGTCTCTCTTTCTATCACTCTCTCACTTTCTCTTTTAATCACTCTCTCACTTTCTCTGTTAATCACTCTCCTGTCTTTCTCTCACTCTTCATTTTGTGTATTGTTTGTATTATTTGTATGCCATGTCCCTCAACCCTGAAGTGAGGGTCTTTGAGGATCCCAATGAGGCCACGGTGCACATGGCATCATTGATTAGCGAGGCTCATCTCCTTGAGGCCAGGGTGAGGCTTTTCATGATAAGCAAATACCCAAGTCTGTAATATAATCATTGCTATTGCTTTTTATTGATGTAATGTAAAGGGACAGTTAGTCCTTTTTATGCAACCGTTAAATAATTGCTCAAATATAAGTGCTGCTGTCTTATGTTGTATTACAACTTTGTTGTTGATCTCAACCTCTGAAAAAATATAGACTGCCATGGCCACGGAAACCCCTGCCATCCCTCCGGAAAAGAAAAGAAAAAGCAGGAAGAGACCTCTTTCTAATCCAGTGGTCACACGCAGACGTGAGAGACAATGGGAAACACAACGCCCCGCATCAGGTTAGTTCTTTACTATATCATGATTTCTAAGTCTAAGAATAAAGATAATTCATAACAAAGTTATTTTGGTGTACACAGTATGAAATTATGTAATTTAAAGATACCTCTTGACAAATCTGTTGCAATGTTTAAAACATTTCCAAATGAAATCAAGATATTTTAAGAGCCTGTGATGATAATCCTTGCCTGTGTTGTATTTTTTTAAATGTGTACCTCGATTTGGATAAAAGTATGCCAAATGTAAATTGTCATTGTGATGCTGTGGTAATAAGTTCTTAGTTTCATTACCTACAGTCCTTACAGAGCATTTTCATATTACAATTAATTGGTGTCATTTTAGATTGATTGAAGGGTTAAGCAAAAATGACTGTCTCTGCAGCTTCACAAGCCAGAAGAGACGATCCTGTGCATGAGGAAGGCCTTCAGCTAGAACATCAAGAGTTTGGTAGTCTTGGTGAGTATATTGATTATAACAGCAGTTGACTGGCACTACAGTTTTTCCCAATGTTTCCATTTTTATACTCATCTAGTTAATCATAATAAAGTATTGAGTATTGACTGTTTCATGACAAGTGACTGCATATTTGGTATAAGTATCACTTGCTAATATTGCTTTGGATGCATATGATGATTCATAGCATGTTGCTATTATTAGTCTGCATATATTTTTCCAACTCAAAAGTGGTTCAGTATACTACCTTAATATCCATCATACCAGTTTTAGGGTGGCGGCTTAACAGCTGTTTTATTTTTTAGAAACTCATCTTTAAGAGTTAAGGGACACCCTAACTGCAGTACAGGTTCCGGAGGCAACAGACGGAACGGTTTCTGCCTGGGCACAAAGGCAGCTTCTCACAGATGTGAGAATGAAAACGGCTAGGCCAATGCTTTTTAATGCAAAACTCTCAGCTGAGAGAATAGCCATTCAGAAGTGCCACAGATGCTGTGCAGAAGAAGCGGCTATTAGGTGCCTGGACTGTGTTCCACTGGACATGGAGTTCCTCTGTGCAACCTGTGACATGGAGGCCCACAAGAGGAATATCTTCCATGACAGAGAGGCTGTGTTCAATGGATTTCTGGAGCCCATTCCCCCTACAACTGCTGTGGTGGTGGATGAAAATGGCCAGCCTCAGTTTTGTGAACAAAGTATGTAAAGGTTAACATTACATTACAATGTCCCATTATAATGTAGTTCCCAAAATTAAGTACGAATGGGAAGTGTACATAGCTGATTGAAAAAAGTATGATTGGTTTTGACTAGGGCTGCAAGATATGTGGAAGTTATGCAACATTTTATTGAATATCTTTATAATCTGGAGAATTAAGGAAAAACTGTAAATACACCCTTCCTCATTTATTTTCTATATTGCAGTATGTCAACTGCCTGTTCCTACTCCAAGGTCAATCTGTGAATGCTCTGATGACGTCACAGTGACTCCTTGGAAGCATATTTCTGTGGTCACCATCAACGGTATGTTGTTCTGAAAGCCCTTCTTTTTGTACAAGTAGTATTGTACGGCAGAGTTTTACCACTTTGTGCAATGCAAAGATTTGTATCACCTGGTCATTTTCAGACAACACCCAAATGCCATGTCAAATAGCTAATATATCATATATGCACATCTATGTATAAAATCCAATATTTTAAGGCAAACTCACAGTTTAATTACCGAAATACCTTTACTTTTTCCATTTGTTCACAGGACGATACAATGTCTGCTTGTCTCGGAAATCCTGTCCATCCTGCTCTGCAGAATGGACTCCTGAGGTTTAAGACCTGCTTTTGTATCGGTACTGGCCAGCTAGCACCAGCTGCCAGACGCTTTACAAATATGATGTGTTCACCTCATTCGAGCACATGAAGGTGACAGCACCAGCCATGTCCAGGCAGGCATTTCTGAAAATGTTGGAGCACAGATCTGTTCAAGCTGGACGGGTAAATCTGCCTGAATCACACGGAAACATACAAAAAACAATATCATATTACTGTATACCATATCATAAATTGTTGGCATTGCTTTCAAAACAATTACTAATCCACTTTTTTTAAATCAATATACAGACAGGTATTATCTGTGCTGATACATTTCAGCGAAGCTTCTTCGAGTTTAGCTTCTGTCAGTACAAACAAGAGGATATGTGCCAGGTCCATCACTTTGTTTGTCCAGCATGTTCTCCAGACATGTTGGCTGTCTGCTGTGATGGAAACCGCAAGCATTACCGCTTTTCCAAGTCAAAGGGTATGTATAGGTATTATTGAAAATGATAAAGAACACACCGCTAATACAAATAGTTGCCCTTGGGGTTGGGTTTGAGTAGCCATAACAGACATTAAAACAAATCATAGTAATGTAGTGCTTTGTGATTTTTATTATTGACTTGTATGTTAACTTATCATGGACAGGACTGAGGAGCCGCCAATCTATGAGGGCTTGTTCCTGGCCAAGGATGAGGAAGTCGCAACATTTGTTGACCTTGTCAGAGGCAACATGAAAAGTGTACGTTTTTTTTCTTATTATGATAGTTGCAGTTACACCTGTGGTGTTCTTTTTTATATATGTCAAAACGTGTGTGTAATAAACTGACTTTATAGGGAAATGACAGTGCCGTCTGTGGTACTGCCAAATTCACCGCTGGCAGAGAGATGTCAAAAAAGTCTGGTGCCCAGATAGACGAGGAGGGCATTCAAGTGGCAGTTTGCAGGTATGTATTTGTAAGTGTGTCTGTGTGTGTATATGTGTTTGGTTCTTGAGTCTGGTCTCATTATTTCAGTTTTAATAGCAATCCAAGTCTAAGTCTTTGTAAGAATTGGAAGCATTAAACACTTTTGATTGTGGAGCGGAATTGATCCATCCTTTGTAGCATCCAAGTGATATTTGTTGTTATAGCCACCTAGATGACAGAGATGAGTGCTTGAGCCAGGCCTTGCTGTGTCAGTTTATTATTAACAACTAGATTTTCTTCTGATTAATCAGACATGGGTTTCTCTTACGAGGACTGAACCACTTCCGTGGAGAAATATACGCGTACCCAATGTTTCTCCAAAAAGAGATGTCCAAGAAGGCAAATGTTGACTTCTTCTGTATGGATGTAACATGCAGGTAATCCTCACTGTCATATTGCACATCCACAAAAATGTTTAAAATGGCCTATGCCTCAGCAGTCATTTTAGATGATATTGATATTGTTGTCATGTCAATTAAAAGTTTATCTTTGTAACACTCAATCACAAAATGCTGCTCCTGCTTCTTAGGTACTGGCCATACCTTAATAAAATAGCCGAGGGATTACCAGAGCTTCTGCCGTTGACAGAAATGAGGCCATTTCTTAGCGTGATGCATGCTAAAGCCCATACAGCAAAATGCGAGGTACATAACATCTTTAATGCAAAGGATTTTTAATGTTGTGCATGGCATGCCTTATTGGATATCAAAAACGTTGCTATATAACACTATTTGCGCTGTGTTGCAGGTGAGATGGGTGGCAGAAGTCAGGACGGGGCAGGAAACACAGTGGGAGAGGAAGTAGAGCAGGTATGTTATTAATGGCATTATTATAACTGTATGGATACAAGAGGTCTTAATAGAAAGCAGTACAAATATGTATGTGTCATCTCAGTGACAAGCCTGTTGATTAGTTTAAAGCATATCCTTTATGTCTGAGTTCAAATGAAAGATAGGCAGCTCATATGTTCAGCAACAATAAATGCATGCACATTGTAGGAAGTCAGTACACAAGTTTTCTCTTAAACCATCCAGTTCAAGATCTATGATGTGTAGGTAATATTGTTATGTAATGGTGACCGAACATTAATTGTAACATTCATTATAGGTGAACAGCTTTCTCTCCAGGGCAGCTCTGGTCACAAAATACATGACAAAATCAGGTTGGTATTAACACTACACACTGTGATAAGGCAGCCCTGATAAGTATTTTACAGAGAGTTCCCTCCGTAAAAACATTATTGGTGTATTACCAGTTCAACAACCTTTTAACGATTGGGTTTAGTCATGTCTATCAGGTTTCTCACTCAGTATTGCCTTTTTGATGTGAATACTTACTTTTTTGTTTGTGGATATATTTTTGTGTTTTTTAGGAAGAGTGAACATGCTTACTCAACAGGCCATGGGATGGAACAGAAGGAAGAGGGACAACCTTCATCAAGTTTTAGCACACAGATATGTCAAAGTAAGGGCAAATTACAATTGTCTTCTCATCTGACATTACATATGAAGGATGTCTGCAATGTAACCTCATGGCTATATACATTATGTTCTCCCTTATCCACACTTCCTCTTGCAAGTCAGATGGTGTCATGGAATGTTTCAACTGTTCTTCTGAAGGTCTTGTACTGAAAACTGGTGTTCTTTGCATTATGGTGTTGCATGGCGCTTTTGCTCTGACATTTTCTTTTTTTTGTAAAGATCACAGAGAGGGCAAAGGTGGAAGCTGCCAGCTTCAGCGACTTCAAAAAGGAGCACAACCTTGATCAGGAGACCATACAGCAGTGGGTGTATGATGTCAGGCAATGGGCGGTCACAGGTAAGACATACCACAGGTTTTCCATATATACATCTGTTAATTACTGTAAGTTTAGACATACAATATAAGTTGGCTATATGTTGATCACTGATTGTATCTCTTCTCCAATTGTTTTATTGCAACTATTTAGAGAGAGTTTACGCCCCAGGGTGTACTGAAGGACTAAGGGTGGATATTGAGAACATCACCGTCACTCTTTTGCGCAGGAAGCAAGATCTGTATCGTCAGCATGGTTTGTTGTCAAACGTAGTTATTGAAATTACACTTCAAAAACAGCAAAAACATTCTGGCACCATGACACAGTTTTGTTTCCGTTTCACTTTGCAGACAGCAACCAGGCAAGGCAAAGAAAGAGGAAGAGAATGAGAGAGCTGAAAAAGAAGCTTCGCGAAAAAGTTGTACAATACAACACCGGAGTGCAGGAAGAACAGATTGACGAGGAGTTGGCTTGCAGTCTGACAGAGGGCTACACCCTACCATGGGAGAGGCATGCAAATGGTAGGGTAATTGCTAGTTTGGCTTGTTGTTTTTTTAGTCCATACCAAAATATTACAGTTTATCATGGGGCAGAAAAAGCAATGGTGATACCTGCAAATATATAATATTTGTTATTAGTTTACATTATAGAGAACCAATGCTATCGCTACAAAGATTTGTGTCTCAGAAATGAAAATCATTCTGTAATAATATAATTTATGAATAAATATTCCTTGTCTACTACTCCATTCCTTTCCTCAACCTAAAGGCAACACCTTCAGGTTGAAGAGGTCTGTCTTTGAGCAGGTAATGCTGGTCAGACGTTTGGAGGAGGAGCAGAGCATCCTGGTGAAAGAGATGTCGCAGCACATCATGTTCCTTCTGAAGGAAGTACAAGAAGTGGAAGCACTGAGAGGACAGACTTTGGAGGGCATCAAAACCAGCAGTATGTCTGAGATCTTAACATTTGAATATTTTCATCCACTCTTCAACACATTGCATGTCTTACATAAGTAGAACACATCTGTCACTGTGTCAGGCCGAAGTGAAATAGTAAATTACTGAAACTATTCATCATCAAGATCATAATCGATTATTTTCTGTCTATTGACTAATTGTCAAGCACTATATCAAACATTAATCAACATATCCCATTTGGCACCCAATATATACTAACATCCTTCAGTTTAAGATGGATTTACCTACTTTGTAGTGTTTTTACATATGCAGCATTGTACAATGCAAAGAGATTTGCAATTGTCATGGTTTGTTTACATTGAGCCCTTTTTCTGTGTGGTTATTCCTATATATACAGATTTCGGTGACCTGACAGAGGATGCTGCACATGGGCTCAAGAGTGTCCTCAGTCGGAGGTGGCACTTCCTCAAAAGCCAACACAAACAGGCTGTACATGCGTACAGCGGTGTAGCCGCTTTGGAATGCCATGATCTTCAATTACAGCAGGACATTGAGGAGTCGGATGACAATGACTACACTAGCCCTGAGTCTGAGGAAGAAGACCTGTAAAGGTTTCTGCCAAGCAACACAGAGGCACTGGAGAGCTCTTTCACAAGAGAAGTGTCACGTCCACACGCTGGCGCACGCCATAATAAAGGCCTACAAAATAAAGACATTTTAAAACACTATATATGAGAACAATATGAAACTATGCACTTGTTTCGCCCGACTGAGTTCATAATAATGTGAAAATGTGTTTATATTTTGTACTTCCGTTTATTTAAAGCGCTTTGACTTGCTGATGTGTATGAAAATAAATTGCCTTGCCTTTATATTAAACTGCCTCTTATTACTCAAACAAGTGCTATACAATGGTTGTTTTCTTGTCACTGCATTTTGTCATTCATTGATTATGAACTATTTACAATGTGAATACATTGTAAATACATACAATACAATAACATAATTCTTTATTAGTAACGTGCATAATGCAGGGTAAATACCAACACATTCTCACTCCCAACTCGTACTTCTAATTTTGTATTATTTTCTAAACCACACACTGTTATTTACTCAACAATAACACACAATTATTCTTGTGTTTATTTGTTTGATTGTATAATGTCGGACTTTTGGAGTCCATCAGGACCGAGGGTCGGAGCAGCTCATAGTAGTTGCTTTAGAGAATTTTACACCCGGAAGTAAGTATTCTCTCTTCTTTGCTTGACAAACCCCGTGATAGTCCTCAAGCTCTGTGATTGGATATTGGAGTGGCAGTGCGCAGAGCGTCCAACAGCACTTTGAAATGGAATGGAACCACGACAGACTATCCAAAACTGGAGTCGGACGGGTCGACCCCCTCCCCCACCCCGTCACCAGAACTACACGTGCTGGCTATTGTGTGTTTCGCACATAGGTTTCGCATGTTCTATGGCACGTCTCTACTGGGAATTGTAGTTTTAAAAGACGTTTTCGTATTTCCCATAATAAGAAGTTGTCAGTATTAAACTGTGTACATCCCTGGAGGTTTAGGGGATACGAAACACATGTGTTTCACATTTAAAACATATAATTAATAAATGGGTGAAAATTGCTTGTGTCCATAATGGGCAGCATTACCCACATGACAGCTAAGGTCAGAAGATCTTTATTTAACAGCTGGTCTTATGTTTGTGACCCCTCCTGTTGTTCATTGATGAGCCTGAAACATGCTATTGTCAAGGTTCAGAGGCACATTTTGCAAATATGGCAGAAGCCATCGATCATCTTAAGATAAGATATACTTTATTTATCACAAGCGGGGCCATTTTTTCGTTACAGCAGCATGTGTAACAGTTGGAAATATGCAGTGGTGTTTATTTAGAAATCATTTAGTATAATCACACAAATTCTATGTTTTATATTTAATAATTCTCTGTTCCTCATTTATTGGATGTTCAATACCTGACAAGGTCGGAGATTAAAAAGGTCAGAGATTAAAAACGTTGGTCGCAGGTTCCTCAACAGTGCATTACAAGACATCTATCGATATGTGTGTATACCTCCACCATTAAACTGTCATATTCTGCACATTTCTTATACTATCTAGATACATCTTATAAGAGTATACTACATATGTATAATATCAGTTCAAATAAGTGCTTCAACTTAGTTAACATTGCAGGAAAGTTGATTGTCAAGTTCCAAAACAAACTATGCAATATATTAAACGTTAAGCACTTTGACAGACTTAATATTGGTCTGTAGATACCCCCAAAGCTTTTTTCTTATTTAAAAGAAGACCTTAACTTAAAGTAATCTTTAATGTTAAAAAGAAGCCTATTTAGTTTGTCTGTTTTGCACATCCTCCTATTAATATCTTTGGACGTCCGGCACTAAACTGTTTTATTGTAGAGATCACAACAGTATCTTCTTGATATTTTAATCTATATTTATATGATTGACCTTCTACTTTCCCCCTATGTATGTACTCTTAATATTTGTATGTTTCATGAAATATAACATAATTCAACAAACAAATTCAATAACGTGCTTTAACCACTAGGCGGTACGGGTTAAAAAAAAACTGTCAACTTTAAAGTGTTAACAAGACAAATTATACTGCTGTTTCCAGTTTAGTTTATGATGGATATATTTTGTTATCGACACATATATTGTTTTGATATTTGTGACACAAATCTTCGGAAAAAGTGTGTTTGGTATCTGAAATAAATTAGGGTTATGCAGGTAGCGGAGAGTGGTCCGGCTCCGTTTCCACGGCAACGGTGGCTGAGGATCATGGGTAATCTAGCCTTCCGCTGTCCAAAAAGACCACAAAAAAACGAGTAAAAAACCTTTGAAGCCCCTGTACCGATATTTAGAAGTTATCTACTGGCACTTCAGCATATTAACTGGAGAAAGAATAATAACACTAAATTCCTCCCATCAAGAGCTCCCCATCAAACACCGCATTGACTTTAAAATATTACTTTTCACTTTCAAAGCCCTCAACAACCTTGCCCCCCCCGTCGCCTCAGATGTTAGCTGAAGCTAACCTACTGCAGCCCATCAGGACAAAGCTCCAGACCTAGGGTGACAGGGCCTTCGCAGCAGCCTCCCCCACTCCCTCTCCAGCCACGTCAGATCCGTCAACATCATTCAAACAATCTCTCAAAACTCACCTTTTCACTCTTGCCTTCAACTCCTAATCAACTAACCCTTTCTCTTATTCCACCTAGCTTAGCACTTTCTACTTTTGTAGTTATTTTTGTTTTTACTTGCTTGTAAGCGCTTTGAGGACCAGAAGCACTTTATAAATGTAATGTATTATTAAATTAAAATAGCCTACAAACAGTGTATTCTCAAAGGATTGAAGCATTGGCTACTTATTTCTTGATATGTTGTGCATTAAGCATTCTGTTATTAATGTTTTCAATAATGTACTATCATCCCAAGGACCGCTTGTGGGCTGCTTCTGTGTATTTCAATCAGGAGAGACTTCATTTTGTTTAAAGAACATTTATTGACACATGCCATACGTTAAATGTTAAGTCTCGATTAGACCCCGATCCTGAAATGGTATATCGAAAGGGGGAAATGCAGCTGTGAGCATATAGGGAACCCCTCCGGGGTCTAGTCACTGGTGGTGATGCTGAAGATCTGGATTTGATGAGGAGATGGGATGAAGAGGGGGTGTGATGAGGTCTTTGGATTAGCTCTCCTGGCACTGGATGTGATGAAAGGAGGTGGATGAGGAGGAGGCGGGCGGAAGCATGAACACCTGAAATCACAGCTGACTGCCATTTTAAAGTTTGGCTGCAGCACAGTGATTGGCTGCTGGAGAATGAGGTGAATGTAATATGTTAAAGAGAACGCCTGTGATGAGCTGATTATATGCAGCTGCGGAGTGAATGTATATATACAGTATATATATATATATATATATATTATATATACCCCGTCTTCCTGAAAGAATTTGCGCTCAGCTTCATTTTACATCAATATGCAATTCACCTGTGAAATTAATTGCCAGTGGCCATAAAACAATGCATACAGGGATCCTTCAAGTCAAACAAATGTTAAGTCTGTTGCACTTTATTAATTCGATACAAACACCAAAACATTTATTGTTTTGTTTGGCAATGGGATTTGCATGGGGTGGGAATCAGGCTGCTTGCCAGGATGGAGGCCAGCCCATACCACTGAGAAAGAAATAAAATAAAGGGAGGGTGAAGAAGAATTAGTGAGCAGTAATACACATTAAATTGATTTTCATTAGGCTACTGTAACATTTTTATACTGTTTTATAAACGTTTGAAGACAAGTGCAGTGTTGTATGAAGTATTTGGTATTCCACTGTATGGATGCAGCGATTAACCAATGTCACTTTTAACAGTTCAGCTACACTGAGTGTTTTTGTTCTCACTCTCTAAAAAACTACATTATGGTATGTTAAGGTTCATTACAGCAACTGTTGCTCATTGGGAAATATGGAAAACGGGTTAATCGTGTTAACAAAGGTAAAAAGGCACAGTAGCTGAACATGCCAAAATGTTGTGGAAAAATCCTATAACACATTCATCCATCCTTAGTGTAATAATTGTAAAACCCAAAGGTGATGTTTCCTCAGACTATTATCATAGCATCAAAATGTAAAATCATTGCATCCCTAGAGCCTTACAGCACAACATTTCAAGTGAATAATAACTCCTCCAACAGGCACATTGTATTCTAAGATAAGGGATCAAATAGCATTTGATAGATAACAAACAGTCTATAGATCCCCTTGGGGAAATTATATCATGATGCGTTTGTTACGTTACAATTTTATCTGCCCAATAATAGGGTACCGATATATTTCCCTTTGTTGTAGTTTACGGTTTCACCACTTGATTGTCATCACTGTTGTTAATTTGCACTATCTGTAGATGAATGTCTAATCATAATTCTTTGACCTAGTTCCTTTACATTTCTGTTGTTGTTTGGTGATTATTTACTAATACTTTAGTAAGTGTGGACTTAACGCCAGAGTAGCTAACGTGAACCTGGTGTCTCTGTGGTGTAATCAAATATTGACACAGCTTTAATTAAATAAACTACCTAGTTTCAATGTATCGTTTAGTGTGGACTTTGCACATTTAAAATAACTTGTGTATAGCTGGTGCTACAGACAGCAGAACTTTTTGCATTTTTCTTTAACAAATGCCACCTAAGATAATGGCATGCCAACAATTACCACAAATGTACACATAGATGTAATTGTACAAAAGCCAATTAACATACCAAATGGTGCAGGGCTCCCAGTCATAAAGGTGCTCCGTCCCCCCCTGTGGTAGGCAGACAAAGACATTGTACATCTGTATGTTATTTGAACGTTGTACTTTCACAAGTACTTATAATATATGTATTGTTCAAATAGTTTGCATATATTTAAAAAAATAGTCATGAAAAAAGACATCTGACCGACTAGAGGGATTTACAGGATGTTTACACAAATAGCTTCATATTGTGAATTGGACAACAGCATTCCTTCAAGGTAAGATAAAGTCATTGCTATACAAATTCAGAAAAGTTATCCAACAGCAAACACTGTCATCCAGGTAATCATTATCCTACCTTTCGGTTCCTTGTCTTTATTATGGTGCGGACAGGGAACACCTCCAGATGGTTGTGAGAGCAATCTGTAATTGTATGGAATACATTATTTGCACAAATGTGCAGAACAGGTAAAGTACGTTTTGTATTGGGCTCATCTCAGAATGCACAAACATTTCCACTGTGTGACAGAAGCACATTTAGTGTTTCCTCCTGAGCAATCACAGAAGTTTAAGAGTCTACACATGCTTTCATTCTAAATCTTAGCTTCTCTGCCATTCCTTCGGGATGTTGCTGTGTCTGCTAATGGACTGATTACATCTTACATTGCTTGCTACTGAGTGGATATGTTTTAGTCTTATATTCATTACACTAGTACTTGGGCTCTGTAGCACTATATTACATTAAGCAAGGATGTGCAAGCTTTCTATTCAATTATAAAGTATAGAAAGGTTTTAATGAATGTGACTTCAGCTTATCAGACAACATACACACAGGTTACTCTGTTGTGTCTTTGTTTTAACTCCAAAATGTGCATGTGTGCGAAACATAAATATAGCATACATGCATAACATTTGAAGGCAAATATGAGTCCGGCCTTTAATAAATCAATGTTTGGAACGTCTACAAAAATCGCAACATTAACTTACTGATGCTTATGTGGCATCTAAATGTGAGTAGAATACAAGCTAAACATACTTTTAATTGTTTTGGTTCTTTTACGTGGCTGCCGCATTGGTGGGATTTGGTGTGATGGTTCCAGCATAATTTGAACCTGGTGTGATGGTGGGTGGGTGCTGGGAGCCTGGTTTGGTGGTGGGTGGGTGCTGGGAGCCTGGTTTGGTGGTGGGTGGGTGCTGGGAGCCTGGTTTGGTGGTGGATCTGCTGTTTCCTGTGGTTGCTGGTTATGGGTGATGGGTGATGGATCACATGGCACCAAATTTAAGATGTAGCTTCCATCGGGCAGTTGGTTGGGTGGGTCTTGGGGTGGTGTTGGTGTGTCAGGGTGCTCCTCTTGGTCTGGGTTGAGTCGTGTCCAACCTACAAAGAGTTTGTTGTACAAATCTGTTTAAAAGCCCACATATTTATTTATTTATTATGTATAATACCATAAATGTTGCATTGGTTAGTTATCTGTTCATATATAATATATTTATATACATATCCACATCTGTTTATACAACCTTTTCATTCATGCCTCCCCATATTAGTATTTCATTTTACTTTCTGTTTTATCTTATTCTATTTTATATGTATATATTTGACTTATTCCTGCATGTAAGTTTTGCACCTACGTTGTTGGACTAGTTTCTTCTTGCACTATTTTATTTCTTCTTGTACTATTTGTATGCTGCATTGTTGGAGGAGCCTGGGAGTTAAGATTGTCATTGCCAACAACTACGCTGTAGCTGTGCATATGACAATAACACCTTTGAACATTGAATGTTCGAAAACAGGAACATGGAATACACACACATACATTATCAATGTAAAAAACATGCAAACAAAGGCAACCCTAACCTAAACTGTAAAAAAAAAGATTGATTGAGTATGATGTCACCCACAGGTATCTGCTTGGCATCAGGGCAGAGGAGCCAGAGAAGCTGAGGGTTGTCCACAGAGCCACTGCTCAGCGCAATTTATTTGAAGAAGATACAATTTTTTCTGACTATGTGACTGTGACTCTGATTGTGGTGGAGGAGGTCCCAGAACACTTGTCCCCTCTTAATTCTTACATTCAGGGCGTCCTAGCAGTGCCAGTGGTCCACCATGCAGCATTACGAGTATCATACAGTAATTAAATGTTTACAGCAATCAATGATCGCAAAAGTCAATGGTATCCCCCACACTGGGTTATCATTGGAAAATGGAAGTTTGATAAGTGAACAAAATGTATTTATTTAATTTTTGGCCAGCAATATAATTAGGACTCATATGTGAGATTGTGCGAGAGCTGTCACTGGCTTTACTTCTAGACTTTGCTATCCAAATGTGTAGGTGGGAAAGATGTGCTGGGTGAGGTCACTTGAGAAGACGTGTGTGGGGGCAGCAGTGTCTTCAGCGCGCTCTTTGTGCACCACAGAACGCTTTGGAGACACAGTCTGGTACTTGCATCCGTTCTGCTATTGTTTACTGCTATTTCATGTTATCTTGGATTGTTGTCATCAGCTGTGGTGCGCTCCACAACTGACCATGAGTGTCAGTACTATACTGTTTCAACCATCTCCTCTGCGCTCCGATGGGGAATGTGATGGCGAGACAGTGCTGATGAAATACAAAGTGGATTTGATTTGAGATTTGAGTTGGCTTACTTCTTTTACAATTGAAAGATGCTTATGGAATTAGTTATGGCTCACAAGCATATGCACAAATAACACTGATGGTTTGAATGTAGGATCTTTAAGAAACGTGTGATAGTAACTGAAATGAAATATGAGAGAGGCTTTATTATATGTATAATGATGCTTATAACATGTATTTGTACAATCTGGCTTCAATTCACCACCTCACCATCTGCATAGACAGACTGTCACCATCATCTTCTGTAAACATTTTTCAAAATATAGATTACAACTTTTGCATGGGAAGTGGCATACACCTCTTTCAAGCCCTGTTTTGTGCATACAAAACAGTTATAAATGAGACCCCAGCTTTTTAAAATGACTCTTTGTTGCTTTGAAATAAACAGGACAAATCAACACCACACATTGTATAACAGATAGTCAATATATGCATGAGTGACTCGTGCAGATGGTTATTAAATAAATGCAATCTCACCTGCAACCATCAGCTTGTAGATGGCCTCCACATTGTCGAGGCATGTCTTGGCTGATGTGCTAAGCTGGGCATGCATGGGCATCAAAACCTTTGTTTTAGATGTCCGTGGCACCAAATTGGTAGGGGGATACGCCAGCAGCAGCAGGGGCTTCAAGCCAAGGGCATGTCACTTTTCCAGCTGGGAAAATAATTGTTGAGAGGTAGAGAGATTAATTAGATAAATACACAAAACTGTTGTTTACATTTGAATTTATCTGCAAGCTTGCCCTGAAGTAGCATCAAAATAAATCATCTACACTAATATCCTGGCATCACAATAAAAACAATGATTTGTTCATAATGTTTTGTTGGATACATTTGGGATTTTTAACTTATGAGACACTTCCTAAACTTCCTACACATAATAGTTCATTCTGTTTGAAAATCATTAATCATGAATTATATTCTCATTAATGATACAATTAAAAATGTGGATGTGAAGCAATACCAGTTAATTTATAATCCTCTGTCAAAGTAATAAAACTACTTTTCACACTTTTGGTGAATGAGATAATTCTGTAAACTACATACCAGAAGGGCGGCGTCATCAATAACGTGGGACTTGATTCTGTTTTTAGTCATGGATGACAACCACTGCTTCTGCTGGCTTTGGAATTTGTCCATTTTCTTTTTGAGTCTCACATTTTTTGGCTGTGGATGTTCACATAGTGGACAGATTTTATTTCCACAGTAAATTTGTTCACTACAGTTTGGGCAGGTCTTTTTTTGTGACCCTCCAGCCATTTGTAGGAGTGAGAGAAAGACAGGAGAGTGATTAACAGAGAAAGTGAGAGAGTGATTAAAAGAGAAAGTGAGAGAGTGATAGAAAGAGAGACAGTGAGAGAAAGAGTGGCTCTTAAAAGTGCCGTTGGTTTTATATGTGTGTGTGTGTGTGTGGATATGTGTGTGTTGGTGATATTAAGTGTTGTAATGAAGCTGTAAAACAGAAAAAAAGAAAAACATGATTAGGATTATTTCGAATAACAGTAACATCTGTGTAATACTCTATGCAATAATAATTAATCTGTGCATTACTCTATATGCAATAATAATTCATCTGAGCAATACTCTGGCATACATTATGCATTTATACTGTGCATATTGTTATATTATGCACTTGTTTTTCTTATATCTTCTACTATATATTTAAATTCTACAATGTAACAATCCCAATCTCCCCCGGAGATCAATGAAGTATTTCTGATTCAGAGTGGGACATTGGGTGGCCAGTCAAATCCTCTGGAAAAACTCCAGTTCCACATTTTTGTTCCACTCCATAGCCGATGCATTAGCCACTATTAAAACTGTGTTGAACACTGTCTTTACAACACATGTGCAAATACATAAATGTAAACATATTTTTCTAGCACGCACCTCCACTATCCAACTGTGCCGGTGACAGCTAATGTAATTTAGCTGTATAAACTATAAATGCTATCCAGCTCAAAACGTTGACCGGAAGGCCGGAGGCTAGCTGAACGTGGCCGCTAGTTGGCCTATTGTAAAAGCTAAACACACTACAAAACTCAAACTAATATCCAGGAATGAAACGCTATAGAGACTGTGCTACAGTGGAATAAATAAAAGCAATATTATTTCGTGTTTTAAAGAAATAAACTCCCCTTGATTTTAGATACTTACTGTTGTCCGTTGTCAGATTAAATCAGATGAAATTAATGAAAGTGAGGTGATTGTGGGTAATGTGGCTAGGTCACGTTAACGTAAAGCGCGACGTAACGTTGCCGGGGTAACTACGGAATCTTCTTCTGGTTTATTGTTGTTATAATAAAAATGATTATTATTACTATTAAACAAAAAGCATTTCAAATACAGTCAGTAGCCAGTGGGGGGAGTGGTTTTCACCATCATTATCATCATTGTATATGTTTTAAATGACTAATATTGGCCTACAATACCCCTTTATTGATCAAATAGGAATATAATTGTCTTTTAAATAACGTAAACTAAAGGGAACAATCTATTTGACACAGCTGAAGCTCTGGCCTTCCTTAAAAACTAAGTAATTTAATAAAAATCACAGTTGTATTACACACAATGCACTGTTTTTTGAGAACAGAAATTGATAAATAATGCACCATAATACATTCTGACGAAAAATAAAAATTATTATGAATACAAATCAAATAAAAGAAGCCTCCCGTGAGTTACTACAAGCTATAAAGTAGATTTTAAAAACGTTTTATAGAATACAAGCTCACTGCGGGACGTTGTAGAAATGCGTGTGTGCACCACGACAAAAGAGCCTCATTCACTTTACATTGGGGTTTTTTGCGTGGTGCCGACACGCAAATGTAACAGAATGCGTGACTCCACCACGCAATGCGGTGTTAAGGTTGCGTGGTGGAGTCACGCATTCTGGTGAGATCAGGTTGAATTAACATTAGTCTAAGAATATTTCAGTCCCTTAAATCAATAAGTGTCTTCAGAGTTGTGTGGGCTCACATACATCAATTACATCAAAAAGTAAAACAAGATTGAAAACATTTCAATCACCATAATTAAACACAGTCAATCATAATAGAAAAATCATCTCTCTTCAGTGTTTGACTTCTTTTGTCAAAAGCACAATAAAAAAAAAACACACATGAAATACAAAAATATAATAGCAGAATATATGTTTCAAAAATAAGACCTTTATCATTTATCACTCAGTTAATCTCATTCATCAAACACAAATTCAAAATCAGCTTACATCTCAAAGATTTACTTCAAGGCAATTACTTATTAAAACACAATTAGAATTTAGGATTATAAGAAATCCAATTGAGGTATACAATCAGAATCATGAGAGATCCAGCTAAAATTCCCAGTTAAGGTATAAATTCACAGTGATGAATCGATCAATCTGTAATCTGTAAAGTTACAGTGTCCTCAATCTTAACATTACTTCACATTTACTTCATTACGCTTTATTCAAGAGTAAGGCACTTATGGCGCATTTCCACTGCAGCGGTTTTAACCGTTTAAGCGTCCTTAACCGTCCTCAAGCGGCCAGGCCAGTTTTTGGTGGCCTTTCCATATAGCCTAGTACCGGCTAGCGGGTACTTTTTCCCTCTTTTTCCGGCCCCATAAAATCGTGGTTCTATCAGACCAGGGCCAGGGCTGAACTAGTGACGTCAACACTCTCGACTGCTGATTGGTCAGAGAGAATCGTCACAAGATCGCGCGCGAGTTCATCCCTAGCGTCGCATATATATTTAGAAGCAAGCTTGCAGCATTTTTATAAACAGCATTTTGTAAACGGAGGAGCTACAAAAATGGCTACGTCTAATAAGAAAAGCACACCGTGGTCGACCGAGGAGGTGACGACGTTCCTACATCTCACTGGGGATGATAAAATCCAGCGGGAGCTCGACGGAACAACTCGAAATGTGAAGCCGATCGCCCCGCCTACACTGCGTTGCTACCCCAGGTCCTAAACTGTAATGGAAATGCGCCACGGCCTCGGACGGCCAGCGAGGCAGCCCGAAGCCTGAGCGAGGACGCTTAGGGACGCTTAAACAAAAACCAAAAACAAAAACAACGCACGTGCCTTGTTTGCTACCGTCGACAGACTAACTAACCCCCCAGTGTCAGTAGCCTCTGAATTTCTATCCACCAGGGCGTGCAATGATTTTGCCTCCTTTTTCACTGACAAAATTCAGAAAATCAGACAAGCAGTCAGTGCCTCTGCATCAGGAACAGCAAATGTGTTGTCCCTATCTCCACTTAACATCAATTCAGACATCATGACACAATTCCATCAGATTAATGATAAAAACCTAGAGGACATTATTCAACTTCTGAAATCCTCCTCCTGCTGCCTTGATATTATTCCAACAGGATTTTTCAAAGATGTTTTGCCTTGCATGGCCTCAGATCTACTTCATATAGTAAACAAATCTCTTCACTCAGGTATTTTTCCACAGGCCCTGAAAACTGCAGTCATTAAACCGCTCTTAAAAAAGAATAATCTAGATGCTTCAGTAATGAACAATTACAGGCCCATATCAAACCTCCCATTTCTAGGTAAAATCATTGAAAAAGTTGTTTTTCAACAGTTGAGTAATTTCTTGCATTTAAATGACTGTTTTGATGTGTTCCAGTCAGGCTTTCGTCCAAACCACAGCACTGAGACTGCTCTTGTAAAGGTCTTTAATGACATCCACTTAAACACAGACAGTGGCAGAACTTCAGTGTTAGTATTATTAGATCTCAGTGCTGCGTTTGACACTGTTGACCACAGCATATTACTAGACCGACTGGAGAACTGGGTGGGACTTTCGGAAACAGTTCTGAATTGGTTTGAATCCTACTTAAAGGACAGAAACAACTTTGTTTCTATAGGTAAATACACATCTGAGTTGACAAATATGACATGTGGGGTTCCTCAAGGCTCCATCTTGGGGCCTCTTCTCTTTAACATCTACATGCTACCACTGGCTCAGATAATGAAGAACAACAAAATAAGTTACCATAGCTATGCAGATGACACACAAATTTACGTAACAATTTCACCAGGAGACTATGCTCCAATTCAAACACTGAGTAAGTGCATTGAACAAATCAATGACTGGATGTGTCAGAACTTTCTCCAATTAAACAAAGATAAAACTGAGGTAATGGTTTTTGGAGCCAAGGCAGAACGTATACAAGTTAGCGCTGAGCTTCAGTGTGCAATGTTCAAAACAACAGATAAAGCCAGAAATCTAGGTGTAGTCATGGACTCTGACCTGAGTTTCAACAGTCACATTAAAACTGTTACTAAATCAGCCTACTATCACCTAAAGAATATATCTAGGATTAAAAGACTAATGTCACAGCAGGATTTGGAAAAACTTGTCCATGCTTTTATCTTCAGTAGACTGGACTACTGCAATGGTGTCTTCACAGGTCTCACTAAAAAATCTATTAGGAAGCTGCAGCTAATTCAGAACGCTGCTGCTCGAGTCCTCACTAACACTAAGAAAGTGGATCACATCACTCCAGTTCTGAAGTCTTTACACTGGCTTCCTGTGTGTCAAAGAATAGATTTCAAAAGACTGCTGCTGGTTTATAAAGCACTGAATGGTTTAGGCCCAAAATACATTTCTGACCTCCTGCTAAATTATGAACCATCCAGATCTCTCAGGTCTTCAGGGACTGGTCAGCTTTCTGTCCCCAGAGTCAGAACTAAACATGGTAAAGCAGCGTTCAGTTATTATGCTCCAAATATCTGGAACAAACTCCCAGAAACCTGCAGGTCCGCTGCAACTCTGACTACTTTTAAATCCAGGCTGAAGACTTTCTTTTTGTCGCTGCTTTTAATTGAACTATTCATATCTTAGACTGCACTGTAACTTTTATCCATGTACTTTTTTCTTTTAATGTTTAATTGACAGCACTGTAACTTTTATCCATGTATTTTTTCTTTTAATGTTTATTTTATTAGCTTTTCTTTTTAATGACTGATTTTAAATGCCATTTTCTTAATCTCTTTCATTTTTTGTAAAGCACTTTGAATTGCCTTGTGTTGAAAAGTGCTATATAAATAAACTTGCCTTGCCTTGCCTTGCCTTGCCTTAAACGGGGCTACCCCGTTGCAGTGAAAATGCGCCATTAGTAGTACATATATTTCATTCAAATACATTTGTTCAAAATGTTCAAACCATCTCGCACATGCGCACTGCAGATCGGGCAGAGCTGCAGATCGGGTAGTGACACGCGTCACTGCGGTTCTCTATGGGACGTCCTTTCCTCCGGAGCGTCACGTGAAGCGACTCTCTGTCCCCGTTATTTTCACAAACACCCTGTCAGTACACATTTACTGACACAAACATTTGTATCATCTGTTGTAGACCCAAATAAATAAAATAAAATAAGAACTAATTCTCAAAAAAGATAAACGCCATTCTTAAAATGTATAAACGATCATTAGTTGGATTAATATTGATTAGAGTGCACAATATAAATAAAATAATTGAGAGAAGAAAAAGAGTTATGTTATCTATCAAAACCCAGTTCGATTAACATTCATTGGATTGCACACTTTGTTTGTTTGTGTGGATAATACGTAGCAAATTAACAATTTAAATAGCACTTAATGATTGACTGAATGGAAATGACAATAAATGAAAATGTAAAACGAAAAA